GGGGGGGGGGGGGGGGGGGGGGGGGGGGGGGGGGGTGGTGTGGGGGTGATATGAGCATAGCACTTGGTTGAGGTAGATCATTTGATCATTTTACCTAGTATTTGCATGCTAATCTCACAAGGAACCCAGAGATGCGGATGAAATCTTAACGGTTCACCATGGCTGAAAGGAGAGTTCGAGTATTTTCTCAGTCATAAGATGGTTGGAGAACATAGCTGGAAAAGAGCCTTCTAGGACTAAGTTAATGTGACGAAAAGAACAGTTGAGCTTAACTCCCTAGTTAACTTTTAGAATTTGCCCAGTCTTTTAGAAGCGGCAAAGGCGTGCCTTGCCTCACGAAAAAAAAATGGACTTTTTTTCCAAGTGAATTTTCTTTTATCCAGATGCCGTGACATCCACAGATTTTGATCGTTCTTTGAACCCGTTTTTAGCTCTTGACGGACTGTGTCGCAGCTCGCAGATCAGTTCCGGGCGTTGTTCTGCAGCAACGTCAACTACCTTAAGATGGCAGCGAAAAGATTCTTTATTTTTCTGGCATTGGTTGCGATACAAAGAACTTATTCAGGTAAGGAAATCCAGTTTACAGCTCTGCATCTGCCTTGGTCATTTTCAATGTACCCTTTCTTCGTATTAGAGATAAAAAAGCTCCCGTTTCGGCCATATTGACCGAGCGCCTTACTAGCCACATTTTAAATTTTGTATTTAATAAATATTCTACTGATTATTGAGGCCAACTTGATAAGTAAAGTTAACTATTTTGTACTTTTCGTTGCAAAAATAATTGCGCCGGAAAAGAAAGCGAGGCGAATTATATATGAGTCTCCGCGTTGTTTGCGCCTCTTTAAACCATCTGTTAACACTAAAAACAAGAGGCACCAAAAGCTTCAGGGCCATGTCAAATAGAAACGCTCTTCAGTCTTGTAGAGTATTAAATAGCAGAGAATGTCAAACGACGAGAGCCAAGTATGACCGATTTATGGCGCCCAAATAGGACATCTCGATATATGCCTAATTGTTAGATTGAACATTTTTTTCCAGCTGCTCCCTCACCATTTCATACTCTCAGCACCTAATCACATGCTCAGCAATAAATAGGAAGCGACGTGATTTGCACCTTTTAAACTGTTGTTAAGTGCTAACACTTCATTATTTTAACACTTTTTTACAGCGCCAGTTAGTTTCAAATGGTGCGTAACGTCGTTGGCAGAGAGGGCAAAATGTCAAGATTTCATTAAGTACGTGAACGAAACTGCACTAAACAAAAGTTTGGATGTAAGTGCCAGCTGTGTTGAGGGAAGCTCATATGACGATTGTGCTGCTAAGATCAAAGATAATAAGGCTGATCTCGTGACACTGGACGGTGGACACGTGTACGCAGCAGGTAATAACGTGCATATATATGGGAAATCCCTGTCGGTAACTTACTTTTGGATTTGAGCTTTTCTTCGTCGCAGTCGCAATTTC